ATTTTGCATTTCATTATTTCCATGTGTTTTATGTGTAAACTTGTCCTGGTCACGTGGTCCACACGAGGCAGAGTTGTATTGGGCGCCGATTCTAACATCGAATCGGAATTATCATTACCGTGTAATTTATTCCACACTCAAGGTCATCATATATAGTGGGGATCAAGCCCCAAGGTTGATTAATTAGCGTGATCGATCCAGACCTCGATCATTGCTCTTGTATTACTGGTCTGGTGGTGGCAGCAGAGGTGACTCTAGGGTTTTGTTCAGAGCTTAGGTCACGTCATACTGGGTGTAGAATCCTAAGTCGGTCAATCGTCTTAGGACCACGTGGCGTGGAGTTGGCTTTGTTAAAAGTTTTGGAGTCCCTTGGTTTAGAAATAAAAGTAAGAATACGGGTAGAGGGAGTAGAAGGAAGAAAAGAGAGAGGAACGCAAACCCGTGTTACACTGATAATAGCAGGATTGTGGTGATATTTAGCACTGTGCTCCATGGAGGGAGGAGTAATGCTGTGGGAGGGAGGGTGGTGGCGTTGTCTTTTGACTCTGTGTGGCCACCTTTTATTGACTGCACTCATCATACCACCTTAGTGGTTCGCTATGGTGAACACAAATGTAGATACTTATATATAACGTGTGTATAGAGGGTATAAACAGCAAGAGGAGTAGGTTGGGAGCCGCCATTTTGGTGAGGGCGGTGGCGTCGTCTGCACGATTTATCATGTTGTTTACTGGTGACCACGATGGTCTTTGGGCACCATACCAGTTTACTTGTACAAGTAAGGTGAATAAAACAGGTAGGTATTTATATATAATGTGTGTATATAGCGTAATAACACCACAAACAGTATTGTTGGAGGAGAAATATTAGTGCGTCTGGCCTTGAGGGCGGCAGCCAGCTGACTGTGTGAGGTCCTACGTCTTTGTGCCTTTACTCACCATACAAGCTTAGATATACAGTTATGGTGAACAAAACATGTAAATACTTATATATAACATCTGTATATAAAAGCAAAAACAGTATTGTGGGTGGAGAATGGTGGCAAGTCAGGTGAGGTGAGGGAGGGAGGGAGGGAGTGGCAGCCAGTGGCGGGCTGCCACTGCCACTCAGCATGCCAACTTAGTGGTTCGTTATGGTGAACACGAATGTAAATACTTATATATAGCGTCTGTATATAGTGAGTAAAAGCAAAAACAGTATTGTGGGAGGAGAATGTGGGTGAGTCAGGTGACTCGAGGGAGGGAGGAAGTAGCAGCCAGTGGCGGGCTGCCACTGCCACTGCCACTCAGCATGCCAACTTAGTGGTTCGTTATGGTGAACACGAATGTAGATACTTATATATAACGTCTGTATATAGTGAATAAAAGCAAAAACAGTATGGTGGGAGGAGAATGTGGGCGAGTGAGGTATTGAGGGAGGGCGGGAGTGGCTGGCTGGTACACGGCGGTCACTCCTCGTTACTTTTTGACTCATAATAGCAACTTAGTGGTTCGTTATGGTGAACAAAACATGCAGATACTTATATATAACCTGTGTATATAGTGTAATAACCGACAAAGTATTTGTTCACTGTTTGATGAACATAATTGAATCAACAATATGCACACCATATTTTTGAGTACAACGATGATTCACTCATTTTATTATATAAATATATCACACTACACACTATTGAATAATATTACAGCAAAAAAAAACTATGAAAAATCAATCAGAGACATTGAAATAATTAGGTAATTATCTCTTTGTGGTAACTCCGGCCTGACAGCTGGCAAGCAACAGACCGCCTGGGACGCACGCTGAGTCAGAGCCTGTTTTTTGCCAGACTTCCCCGCCCTATAGCGGGCAATATATGTCACTTACGATTTTTTTATTATTTTTCCCATGATCAGTGAACACAAATTAACAGGTTAGGAAGAAAAAAGATTTTTTTTTTTTTTGTTTTGTTTGTATGCGCCTGTGGGTGTCAAATGATACATAGCCATGCGCCATTTAAGGGTTAAGAAGCACATCAACAAACTGGAAAAGGTGCAAAGACATGCAACTAAGTGGCTCCCAGAACTGAAGGGCAAGAGCTACAAGGAGAGGTTAGAAGCATTAAATATGCCAAAACTAGAAGACAGAAGAAAAAGAGGTGATATGATCACTACGTACAAAATAGTAACAGGAATTGACAAAATTGATAGGAAAGATTTCCTGAGACCTGGAACTTCAATAACAAGAGGTCATAGATTTAAAGTAACTAAACAAAGATGCCGAAGAAATATAAGAAAATTCACTTTCACAAACAGAGTGGTAGACTGTTGGAACAAGTTAAGTGAGAAGGTGGTGGAGGCCAAAACTGTCAGTAGTTTCAAAGCATTATATGACAAAGAGTGCTGGGAAGACAGGACACCACAAGCGTAGCTCTCATCCTGTAACTACACTTAGGTAATTACCAGACATCGTCAGACTCTGCACATCTTCCAAAATTTAAGATTTTGCAATCAGATCACTTTCCTACAGCATATGGAGTAGTAACGGCAATGGAAAAGGAACAACCAGAGTTCAAACTTTCCATCATACTCAACATGAAAGGAGAATTAATAATGACACCACAAGACCAATAGATTGCAAATTACTTAAAAAAAAGTAACAGTCCAGCAAGGGAAACCTGTATGTTTGGAAAAGCTGGACGTTTCAGAAAGACGCACACGAGTCATGCTTTTGGGATACCCAATCGATTTTCCCCTAGATCTAGAACACCTGCAAATCCTGAATGTGGAACGATGTCGCACAAAAGTAGACAAGGCAGCGACACGTCAGGTTCTGGTGACCGTCATGGGGCATGTGCCAGAAACATTCAATCTTGGAAATTGGGGAATACAGTATACCAATAGAGACCATACGTCCCGGAACCCCTGCGCTGCTTCAGGTGTCAGAAACGCCTACGCATTCAAGACATTAAACTTCAGTGGGTTACACAATATCAATATCTCGGAGTGTGGATAGATTCTAAAATGACATTCAACAAGCAAATTCAATATCTGAAGGAGAAAGGAAAATCACGACTGAATATAACGAGAGCAATCACAGTCTAGGAGCGGGACACAAATTGTTAAGAATGTTTTACATACACACCATTTGTTCCCTAGTTGATTATGCAGCGCCTGCCTTACTCACTCTTTCTCCTGGTCAGTGGGCAATGCGAGTCATAACAGGAGCTCCCAGGTGGACTAAAATACTGAACGTAAGACTAGAAACCAAGCTAACGTCGATTGAAATAAGGGTAAAACGGATTACTGTGTGCATGCTGACCAAGATTTTGACTAGATCTAGAATCAGTTCAAAAAGATATAATCAATGGAGCACTAACTCTGGACAGAAGAGCCTCCAATAGCAACAGGTGGACCCATTGTGTGATAAACACCATCAATACATTCGATATAACAAACACAATCACTGAGAGGGGTGTCGACGAAATACATGCAGACTTTGTTATGCAAGCCCCTTTAGGAATCGCTGCCAGCAGACTTTAATAAGATTATGGCTCTTAAAAAAAAAAAGAACCAGACTAATCCTCATATGCTACGTAACATTGCACAGATGCATATAGAAGCAAACTTGGCATCTGACAGCTTCACATACTTCACAGATGGATCAGTAGACCAACAGGGAACAAGAAACCGGTGCTGCAGTTAAAGCAGGAAACTGTAAATAGTTGGAGACTCTCAAATGGGTGTTCAACTTTACAAACAGAGATGCTAGCCATTCAAAAGGCTTTGGAACATGCTCTTGCTGAACACTGACAACATGTTATCATACATACAAATTCGAGAATTGCCATTGAAACCTTGCAACAAAAACACATATGTGATAACATCCATCTGATCACAAATGTCATATCATATCAGGTCATTGCTCCCCATGCCTCTGAGAGGGGGGGGCTAGGTTCTGGCTCGTGGTCCCCGGTGGGCCCACAGAACTCCATACACATGTCTGATGCCAAAGTCTGACATTAGCATATCAGCCTGAATAGCTCCGGGGAGCCAAAGAGGCTCCCCCCAGAAAAATAGTGAAAAAATCAGAGACATTAAAATAATTAGGTAATAATATCTTTGTGGCAACTCCTGCCCGACAGCTTGGGCGGAGCAGACCTCCGACGCTTGCTCTGTCAACACCTCAAATTTTGCCAGACTTCCTCGCCCTATTGCAGCAAATATATGCTACCTATGATTTTTTTTTATTTTTCCTGTGAGCAGGGAACACAAATGAACACTTTTATAGCACAATTTTTTTTTTTATTCTTTTTATTTCTTGCGCCTGGGCGTATTGCAGGCTATAATTGCAAGAGCATCCCAGGGGTTAATTCCATTTTTGGGTTCAGTACTCTGCCATTCTCCATACTACCACACACATTTTTCTGTTTATAATAAAATACAGGTGCTTCCCCTTCCACTCCTGTTTCCAGATTTGCCATTGGTTAGATACAATATAGATTTCTGACCAACTTATCTAATGTATGCTATATTCTATGTATTTCTTCCTATTACATTTTATTGGTATTCTCATCAATCCTGTTATATTGTTTATTTATTTATTTATTTATTTATTTATTTATATACAAGAAGGAAAATTGGGGGTTAAGAGAGTACATAGTAATTATTATGATTTTACATTCTTGTAAAGCCAGTAGCACGCATAGCGCTTCAGCCAAGAATTATTATTTTCCATTAATTTTTTAAATTATTGTGTTCCTTCATTGCAAATGTTAAGACTTCCTTACCAACATTCTACATGCTTTACCTAGCAACATTTTTATTTTTAAAGGATGAACAACAATTTAGTAAAGGCACATTGTAATATACACTCCAATGATTGATATACCATACACTACAATATATTCCTATAATTTTAAATCTTATACAATGGGGTAATTTTAATGATAAAAAATAATTCAGTTAGCTTATCTCATTAACTTTTCCAATTGAAAATTTATCATACAAACAATCACATCTTACCTGAACGATAAAAGACAAAAGAATCCAAAAAGTAGTATTAGGTATGATGCAGGATTGCTGAGGTGGATGGACTGGCTCAGTATGCGGTACATGACAACCCCTAGTGGAAGAGGAATGAAGCCCATACGTCGTGCTACAAGGTCACTGTGGTCAGAGTAAGCCTGGAAAAAAACCCAGCATTGAATGTAATGAAACACTATTTTCTGGATGAGCCCCAGAGGCTCCCTGGAGCTATTGGGCTAATGTGTGATATATTAGACCGGGGTATTAGTCTACGGAGTTCGACCTACTGGGAACCACGAGCAAGAACCTGGCCCTCAGAGAGGTTGCAAGGAGCAATGGCCCTGGAAAACCCCCCTGGTGAATATTTTCACCAGGGGGGTTTTCCTTGTCTGAAATTGACCGGGGTTAGGCACCCAGAAAGGTAGGCATAACAAAATAAACCCCATATGGTAAGAAGCGTACATTTCCAAATACATTTGTTTTTGTTTTCTTGCCAATCCTATGTATAATGAACACATATACAATATTATGGCAGTAGAACATCCATACTGTCCCAAGACACTGTGTTATATGTGTCAGAAAAGTGTCCACATAAATTGCTCATATATCCAATATTTCATGTTCATTTGTGTATATTTACAACATATTTACACACTATATACTATCACACAGTATACGCATTCACCATCAACACATTCAGAACTCGGTGAGTGTGAGCTGCCACACCCAGCCAGCCCTGCCACACCCAGCCAGCCCTCCCTCACTCCTCCAACACTTTACTCCTTACACCTTACTCACCAATATTCCTCCTCCCACCATACTGTTATTGTATTTATTACACTATTTACACTCGTTATGTATATGTATCTACATGTTTTATTTTCCATAACTATGCAAGTAAGCTGGTATTGTATCCAAACAGCACAGTGGCCACTATACACCGCATGAGAAATCACACAGCAGCCAGCAGATGACGCTTCGAGTACGACGCCACCTCCCTCACCACAATGGCTCACCTCAACACACTCTTGTTGCTGTTATTACACTATACACACACATTGTATATACCCATGTACATATGTGTTCACCATAGTAAGCTAGTATGGTGAGCAAAACAAGAGTGGCTGCCACACACACAGTGACACTACCTTGATTCCCTCCCTCCAACACCAACATTCCTCCTCCCACAACACTACGCACAGTGCTAATTATCACCACAATCCTGCTACTATCACAATCCTGGTCACTAAATCCTGTAAATGAATAGCTGACCACAAGTTCATTTTGTAAAGGAACATAAGAAGTCGTTTGAAGATTCCTAGATGGACGAAATAATGCTGTGGTGCTGTAGCTTGCGCTGTAAACATCGTGAACAGCATTGATTTACTGATATTTGAACATTGTACACAGTCATTATCACACTCAGGCTCTTCTGTAATACTATCATGGCTAAATAATACCCGTTACATATATATTTTGACATTATTAGGCAATGCTGTGGTCATAAGCTGAACAGCAGCCTTGTGAGCTCATGCTGCGTGTGCCAGCCTTGGTTGCTCACTCAGTACTGAGGCTCTCACACCCGGAAATGTTGTCCACGATTTCTTTTTTTTAAATGGTATCTGTTTACAAGAGCTCTGAGGAAGCTAATGTGAACCCCATGTAGCCGCGGGAGTTTTGAATCAAACGCTATACCTATAAGATCCCTGAGGTGCGTTTAGCACCCCCTGTCAAGCGCCTGCAGACGCGTTGTGCATTTCAGTGGCTAGATAATTAATTTTTTAGCATTTTGACACCAAATTTATAGTTATAACCTAACAAATAACTGAGAAAATGTAAAATAATTGCAAACATTTCAAGCATTGCTGAACAGGACCCACCAAGCCTGCTATGTTTATGTTCAGAAATGCAGTGAGAGGAGCATTATCTATTATAAATACACATTTGCTTTTGCATCTGTTCTGCAGACATTTGTAAACACTTAAACACCAAATTTATAGTTATTTCCCCAATAAATAACTTAGAAAAGTAAAATGATTGTAAAAAATTTTCACATTGCTGAACAGCTCGTGAGTGGCCTGGGGAGTCTAGAATGTTAATTGTCAGGAATGTACGAAGAGGCAGACTGCCAAAGTGTTAATGACGATGTGGTTGTTCAAAGGTTCATCCTTTTGTCTTTTAATAATTCATTGTGTCAGGGGACAGGCAGCCAAAGTGTATTCATACACGTTAGGCTTATATCAAGGCTTCCCCCCCCCCCCAGGTCGAATTACTGACCCTGCCCAGGATGCAACCCCACAACAAGCTGACTAACTCCTGGGTACCTACTTACTACTAGATGAATAAGTGCATTTGGCGATAGGAAATGTACCCAACCATTTCTGTCCTGACCGGGATTCGAAACTGGAATTCTCGATTCTGCATCAAGAACAAACCCGACTGTACTGTACTACCAAGATCCGTTTCAAGACCTGCACAATATATTTTAAAGGATTGTGCACTATGAGGTGGTTGAAGATTGCCTTCTTAAGGTTCATCTTGAGAAACTTTCAGATGTATTAGGTAGGGACACAGCTTAAAATTATACCCACTAAGCACTGGATGTAAGTAGCTAGAGGGAAAGAGCTTTATAATTCACTCAAACCATGAGACTATCCAAATTACTCATCTCTAACTGCATGTACAGTAAATCATGTGCATTAATTACCAATGCTTGCTAAAACTATATTCATTCTCTTTATTAGTCTCCATGAAAATGATGCTTAAAGAAAATTCATTGATATTACTACATTAATAAAGAAAAATTCAGAGCAACTTACATATTTCTGTTTACACATAATGAGGTCAGAGGCTAAAAGAACCGTATAATCCTTGTACGCATCGGAAGGTATGTCATTAAACCTGGTGATAAAGGCATGCTTGAGCCAATCAACAAGAATTTCAGTTCCACACACCAAGAGGCAGTCTGGAAGCAAAATCCAGAAGCGTTCTGGGAATGAAAAAAATGAATAATGATACTTAATGCAGCATATATCAGAAAATAACAATCTATCCAATTGCTATTAAATGTGAACAGTAACATTACAAGTTTGAAATGCAAGACCTTATTTAATTATACATATTTTAAATTTCATTCAGTCTACAATTCATGTTTACAATTGAAGCACATAGTCTCAATTAAATAAGTAAACATTATAATCAAAATCTGAAACTTCTTAAAAAGCCAGCGTTGACTGTAATGAAATGCCATTTTCTGGGGGGAACCCCTTCGGCTCCCCAGAGCTAACCGGGCTGATATGAATGTATTAGACAATGGCATCAATCAATGCACATGGAGTTCTAGGCCTACCGGGGACCACGAACCAGAACCTTGGCCCCCTTCAGAGAGGCATGAGGAGCAATGGCCTACAGAAACCCCCCATGTGGTTGGAAGTGCTGTATTCAATGTCTGCCATCGACTGGTTCAGGCACCCAGAAAGGTAAGCACCCCCAAAACAAACCCCTATTCTGGTTAAAATATTGCTACTGAGAGCCAAACTGGTGGACTGAACTCCCCAAATGAAAACGAGCAAGCAAGCATGACATCACCACATCACGATGTCACCGTGCCGCTGTCTGCACCCCCCCCCCCATCCCGCCCTGGGAGGAGGAAGGGAGAGCTCCAGACCCCCGTGCCAGCTATCCACACCCCTGTTCTGAGGCTGGATGTCAAGCCATGCAAAAAACCTACCGACCGGTGGGAGGGAGGGTTACCAGGGAGCCTCCGGGTCTCACTCAGAAAATGGTGTTTCATTACATTCAACGCTGGTTTTCTGGGGGCAGTCTTGTCAGCAGAAGGGCAGAACACCCCAGAAAAAGCAAAGAAACAGCAACAGGAGGATAAAACCCCTGAAGGTGAAAAACTCCCAAAACACGAACTCGCACACCCAGGCACAGGTAAACAAACCGCAGCGCCACCCCGGTGGCCAGGCAGGGAAGCAACCCGCAGAATGAAAATGGCCACCAGAACAAAGGAGCCGCGACCGACACAAGAGATTCGAAAACATGCCAGCAAATGTGGAAAGCAAGCAGACGAGAGGGACGAAAAAACCCGCCCAGAAGCAGAAAACCCAGGCAGAGGCAAACAGTCCCAGAACTGCTAGCGGGCTTCCCTCACAGCCCCGGGAACCCGCAACAGAGGCCCCGAGGTTATCTTGAGGTTATCTAGAGATGATTTCGGGGCTTAGTGTCCCCGTGGCCCGGTCCTCGACCAGGCCTCCACCCCTAGGGAGCAGCTCGTGACAGCTGACTAACTCCCAGGTACCTATTTACTGCTAGGTAACAGGGGAATCAGGGGTGAAAGAAACTCTACCCATTGTTTCTCGCCGGCGCCTGGGATCGAACCCGGGACCACAGGATCATGCGTCCAGTGTTCTGTCCGCTCAGTCACCGGGCCCCCGGACTTTCTCCGTTTCACTGGGGTAAGACCGTCATCCACGCCCTCTATCCTTAAAGAAAAGGAAAAGTCCAGGGAAAAGGCAGCAAAGAAAGGGCCGCTGGTAAGACCCAGAAGCCTCGACAGGAGGAACAGGCTCGAAAACCTCCGTCCCCAACCCGAATGGGGCAGCTCCCGAGGCTGCTGGAGTCTCGGCACCAACTAAACCCTGCCCCAACCCCGAAATCGTAGACGGTCAGGAGCTGGGAACAGGGAGGGGAAGGGGCGAACAACACCTAACCAAAACGGGGCGGCCCCGAGGCATCCAGGTGGGAAACCAGCCTAGCCCATTGCAGCCACCTAACCAAGCATGCAACGCAGATGCCGCCTATACTCTTAACAATAAGGACATCAGGAGAGTACTGGAGAACAAGCAGAGAACACAACTCGCAAGACTCCGGGTCAAGGACTCAAGACTCAAGAACTCAAGAAGGTGTCAGTGACCCCAACAGGCAGCATGATGGAGGTAAAAGAGGTGACTGTCACCCTGAGACAAGGGTACAGCAACCAACGAACCCACACAAGATGGGGTGAAACCCGGAAGACACATACATTGGTCCACCGAGCCCCGATAGGTTTTTCCAGGGCCCGTAGGGTAACGACTACAGGAAGCCCGGGCAAGGTGTCGCTAACCAGTTAACACCTAAAACTAACAAGGAAAAGATGTTAACACTGAAAACCCCTGTGATGTGTACAGTCACGAGGGCCTAGCAGAAGGCCACCAAACAACACCAGTGGAACTATAGCCACACTAGGCAGACCTCCACCAGGCAAATGAAAATAAAAAGAAAATAAAACCCTGCCAAAGTACACCTTCCCCAGAGACAACAGGAACCGGTTGCCGTGTAGGTAGCAGGTCGCGCAACACCTTGATGTCCCAACCAGCACGATACCAGTTCCTACCCAAGGCCAAACAAGGGCCCCCAGGCCTCAGCTGGCCCCAAGGGCGAGGCAAATGCCGAGCAGCAAGAACCCCTACGGGAATGGGTCCCGAATGCCCCAGGGAAGATAACCCTGGCATGCAAGGGCAGTATTCATGGGGTGCATAGGGAAAGAAGCCCCTAAGTGCATGCAGCCCCGGTACTAATGAGGAACACCAGGCCACCACACAACACAAAACATGGCAGTGAGCGCCACGGAGGCAAACACCGCCTAGGAAACTGAGGCCAGAGAAATGTCTGTCCCAGTTGACATTAGCTTATGAACTGGAGTGCTATTTCAGCCGGTGCGGTGAGGTCCCGGGGCTCCCCTCCCCCTCTCGGGGAGGTGAAGTCCAGGCCCCCCCCTTCCCTCTTTTGGGGAGGGAAGGGCTGCACGGATGAGTGGCGCGGCAGTAATGTGTTACGTTTGCTTGTTTGCTTGTTTCCTTGGGATTGAAGGGAGTTCTACCTCTCTGTTCAGTTTATGTTGTTAGTTTATTACCATGTGGGGTTTGTTTTGTTATGCCTACCTTTCTGTGTGCCTAACCCCCTGTCGATGGCAGATAAGGAAAAAAAAACAACCACAGGGGGGATTTTTCCAGTGCCATTGCTCCCTGAAACCTCTCTGAAGAGGTCAGGTTCTGGCTCATGGTCCCTGGTTGGTCTGAACTCCATAGCTAATATCCCGGTTTAATATAAAATACATTAGCCCAATAAGCTCCAGGGAGCTGCAGGGGGCTCCCTTCAGAAAAAGCCACCAAAAAGCACATGCGCCACAAAACAAGCAACTGCTTGGAAGAAACTTTTAACCATGATGATAATGCAAACAATTGTTATTTTGGCAAAATTTCTAACTGAACACACCCATCCACTATCAGACAACAGCCCAGGTGATACATGGTCTTGGTCAGTCAGCCAGCTTATTCAAGAGCCACCTAAAACCCAAGCTCTCCACCCCGAACTCCACGGAAAATGAGGGGCAACAGGCAGGAACAAGGTGCTACCGAGTGGCCCACAAGAGACATTTCAGTACATTCAATGCTATATCTCTGGAAAGACCCCTTCCGATATCTCATGACAGACCCGTAACAAAGCATGCTAGTGAATTTGAAGAAAAAATTACTAAGGCTCACTTGTGGAGGGAGATAGCTGGTAATTCAGTATCTTAAGTCACAATATGAGATTACCAGGAATTATATTTTATAATATGCTGAAATATATAATGCAGTAATTAAGTTAAGGTTTATCACTTACCTTCTTTCCATGCATACTCCTTCATTGTTTGTATCACCACAACTAACAAAAGAACACAGTTGTGAAATCTTTCACGAACGTCACTGCATGATATCTGAAGTAGGTTATTGCGGTCAAATTTCTTGAATACTGCTCCCTTCAACTCGACAAACTGGAAACAATACAGCAATGAGTGTAATGAAATGCCCTTTTGGGTTACACCCGATTAGCCCCTCTTAATGGAAGTCACTGGTACACACAGAACACTGTGAAAATGCAAGGCAACTGGTGACAATTTCTGCATACCGAAGACAAGTACTGTATCTTTCCAGCAATATTCTCCCCTCCACATGGCAAGAAGCCGCATAGAAATATGTTACCACATCTTGAGGTTATCTTGAGATGATTTCGGGGCTTTTAGTGTCCCCGCGGCCCGGTCCTCGGCCAGGCCTCCACCCCCAGGAAGCAGCCCGTGACAGCTGGCTAACACCCAGGTACCTATTTTACTGCTAGGTAACAGGGGCATAGGGTGAAAGAAACTCTGCGCATTGTTTCTCGCCGGCGCCCGGGATCGAACCCGGGACCACAGGATCACAAGGCCAGCGTGCTGTCCGCTCGGCTGACCGGCTCCCGACCGGCTGTAAATGTCATGGTAACAAGGTTTTCCATAAGGATGTTAAAAAGACTAGGACTGAGGACTCCTCCTTGTGGAGTCCCATTCTCATGCAAGTGGTAGTTCGACACATGTCCTTGCAACTTTACTCTGGCATACCTGTGACTTAGGTAATCCTGAATTCATACTAGCATATTTCCCTTTACACCTTTTTTAACTAAGGTGTGTAAAATTGCTTGCGGGCTTACAAGTTCGAATGCTTTTTCTAGATCAAGGAAGATCACTATAGCTGGACCTGAGTTAACTGTTCCTAGTAATGTTGCTATGCAATTGGCAGTACCTACTCCTTTAGTGAAGCCAAATGTGTTTATGCAGGTCCCCAGTCTTCCACAGTAGCCTATTTAAGACCATCCATTCTGCAGTTTTACTAATGCATGATGTTAATGAAATAGGTCTGTAATTGCCAGTTTCTTTCGGCTTAGGAATCGGTATGATGTCTGCTTTCTTCCAAGAGGTCAGCAGTTTGTCTTGCTGCCAAGATGCATTGATGACGTCCAATATTCCTTGTTCTCCAGCAGGACCTGCATGTGCAATCATTGAGTATGTAATGTTATCAGCACCTGGTGCAGTGTCCTTACTACCTTTTTTGGCTCTGATTAGTTCTTGTTTGGTGAAGGGACAGTCACATTCATCATTTATAGCTATGCTCTCATGAATGGCTGTCAACCTATCTTGTTTTAATTGTTCTTGCCGCCTTCAGACAATTACAAGAAGCCGATATGAAGCTGTTCTTTCTGCAAATTGGAGAGCAAGTCTCTCAGCCTCCTGCAATGGTTGAATACATGCCTGTGGTCGGGCTGGTCGACCTGATATAGATTTAATCTGACCCCATATCTTGCCAAGACTATGTTTATTTAGAGTTTGACACCACTCAAACCATCTTGACTCCTTTACTTGAGGTTATCTTGAGATGATTTCAGGGCTTTAGTGTCCCCGCGGCCCGGTCCTCGACCAGGCCTCCACCCCCAGGAAGCAGCCCGTGACAGCTGACTAACTCCCAGGTACCTATTTACTGCTAGGTAACAGGGGCATTCAGGGTGAAAGAAGCTTTATTCATTTGTTTCTGCCTCGTGCGGGAATCGAACCCGCGCCACAGAATTACGAGTCCTGCGCGCTATCCACCAGGCTAAGAGGCCCCTCCTATACTTCTCTAGAAACTCGTCTTGTTTCAGATATCATCGCTCTTAGCAGAGTTCTTCCTTCTGGTGTGGGGTTTCTCTTTAGATGTTTTCTAAAGATGTTAGCTCTGTGGTTCTGTTCTTTAACCTCATTACTATGGAACCAATAGTTCTTTCGTTTTGTATTTCCTGTGATAATGATTGGAATAGCTTTCTTTGCAGCAGCTGCAATGGCTTCCTGTAGATTGGTCTCGTGTATGTTCAAATCCTCAGGTGGCGTGTATGTTGCATACCATTTTTCAAGTTCCTCTTGGTATATATTCCACTGTGCAGGTGGTGTAGTAGGTCGTTCTATGTTTAGTGTTGTGACAGTAGCATAGTGGTCACTGGTGATCACCGGGTCTACTTCCCACTTCGCCTGATGCTTGAGTATTGTTGAGATTAATGTAAGATCAAGGGAACCTCCTAGAATGTGAGTGGGTTCCCCAGTGTTGAGAAGTGTAATTTCAGGTACTTCTCACAGAGCTGCAGCTAAATGGCGCCCATCTGCATTGGCTGGCCCAGTCGCACCTAACTCTGTAAATTACCTGTTGTCTGTTGCTGATTACCAAGCAGGTAATCAACACTCTGTCTGTTGATTACCAAGCAGATAATCAACAACGTTGTTTCTCCGTCAATTGCAGATGAAATTGGAATTGTTTCCTTCAAAACAAGACATTGTCTGGGTATTGGAGTACTGATGTATTCTTCCTCACAAAACCGCGATGAATTGAGCTGATGGGTGCTCAGAATTGTGAGTTTTTCTGGGAACAAATCTGTGTGCGGCCAGCTAATAGATGAGCTGGACAGATGTCTCAGGCTGCACACTCCACATCTCTCCTGTCCTGTGCAGCGTGATTGATGGTGGCCGTATTTCTGACACCTGAAGCAGGGCAGGGGTTCCGGGACATATGGTCTCTGTCGGTATGCTCCCAATTTCCAAGACTGAATAATTCTGGCACATGTCCCATGACGGTCACCAGAACCTGACGTGTTGCTGTCTTATCTACTTTTGTGCGGCATTATTCTGCATTTAGGATTTGCTTGTGGTCTAGTACTGGATCCAGGGGAAAGTCGATTGGGTATCCCAAAAGCACAACTCGTGTGTGCTTTCAGAAGGGTCCAGCTTTTCCAAGCATACAGGTTTCCCTTGCAGGACTCTTACTTTTTCTAAGTAATTTGCAATCTATTGGTCTCGTGGTGTCATTATTAATTCTCCTTTCATGTTGAGTATGATGGAAAGTTTGAACTCTGGTTGTTCCAGAGTTCAAACTCTGGTTTGGGTCACCACACGGGGGTTTCTAAAGGCCATTGCTCCCCCTTGCCTCTTCTGAGGGGGCCAGGTTCTGGCTCATGGTCCCCATTAAGCCCATAGAACTCCATACACATGACTAATGCCAAAGTCTGACATTAGCATATCAGACTTGTAAACTCCGGGGGAGCCGAAGAGGCTCCCCCCAGAAAAATAGGCAATAAACTCACGGGTTCAGATGGGACAAGTCCCGAATGAACCGGAGGTTTGCTCAGTCCTGTTTCAGGACTGGAAACAGGCAGGAAACCCACCTGAGGGCAAAGGTCGTTTCGACCAGGCCCAAGCGAACCCACTCTAAGATGACCCCATAGAGCGCAGGAGAAGAGGCCAACCCAGCCAGCCTCATACCCCCATAGGTATGGGGGAGGAGCCACCCAACACCACCACAGCCTGCACGAAATGACCTGAAGACCGACAAATCGTAGGACCTGCTGCAAGCAAACAGAGAGAGAGCTTCTTCCCCCCCCCCCTGCCCCGTCGATGGGACTAGCCGCAAAAGGGCCGATGCATCTTACGAGCACAGAAACAGCACACAGGGCGATTCCCTCATACCGAACAAAAACAGACAGCACCAAATCTGACACAACTGGCCTACCGTGACGAGAAGAACCCCAAGCCCTGGCACGATCCCACTGGGAAGGCTTCCCCACGAGCCTCCCGGAAGACCAACAAATCCGACATGGGACAGCAACTAGCAGAAGCTGCCTGCAGATACTGCACAACCACAGACTCCGCAAACAGCAATGGACAAAAGAGGGAAGATAGTCTATGAGCCAGGGCCCAAGCAGATTCCAAAAAAGAGGCGAACACCTCCTGCCGATACGTGAGTCGAGGAGCAAAAACCATGAAACTGCATCCCGCAGGAGCGGCGCGAACAGCTTCAACAATGCAGACGATGCATGTGCCACTGAGGGCAACACACCAGACCCAGAGGCGGCCCCAAGCTCTTCCACATCCATCTCAAGCCAGCTCAAGGCAGCTCAGGGAGGGAGAAGAAATGCAGGGCTGAAGCCAGCAGGCCACGTGTATGCAAATCCTCAGCAATCAATGCAACCAAAAGAGAAGGAACCTGCACATGAAGCTGCATCAAACCCACATTCTGCGGAAGGGCAAGGGCGAACAAGCACGTATTGAGATGCTCAAATTTCCCCCCCCCTCCCCAGGAAAACTTGCAATGCCATCTGAGCCTCCCACCACTCAAACGCGCGGGATCGACAGAATGTATGTCACGCCTCCAAAGAGAAGAGAGGGCAGTCTACTAACCTGAACAACTCCAGAACTTCATAACTAAATCAGTTAGGACACAAAGATCCATACATGAAATAATGCGGATCCAACACGAAAGCATAATCCGGGTCATGCAGGAGATAGGTCGCAAGGGCTTCCTGCACCACATGGGATAGGACACGGGAAGCAGAAAACCTCTGAAAGGACAGAACCAAAGAACCGTCAGGATCACGGAACCAAACCCGAGGAAGGGTAGACGCCAAATCCAATTCGTACGAGGAGGGAGCAAAAGAGAACCCCACTCCTTGTAAAACCAAGCCCCACTCAGAGGGTACAAAAACCAAGGAGGAGTTCAACGGGGCCCAAGGCCCCCAAGTCAACCCCTCCCCAGGAACCTAACACCGAGGATCCGGGGCCGAGCCATCCTCCAAACCCCCCACCTCTAAAGAAAAGGCAGGAGCCGCCGAAAAAGCAGGAAAGAAGGAGGCCCACTGGTCAGACCCAGAAACTCCAGCTGGAGGACCAGGCTCGATTGTCTCTGCCTCCACCCGGGAAGGGGATTACCCCATGACCGCCCAAGTCTCAACTCCAACAAGACCCCTGACCCGATTCTGAAACCCTCAGATGTTTCGGAGTCGGAAGCAAGGGGGGAGGAACCAGACACACAAGAGAAGGGAAAGGACAAGGAGAGGCGGACGGAACCAAAGTCGAAGCGACTCCCACCCTCAAGTCCGGGTCCCTAAAACCAAACCAAAACAGGGCAGTCTCAAGGCATCCGGGAAAGCAACCAACCTATCACGTTGCAGCAACATGACCCTAGCATGCAACACAGCTGCTGCCTGCACCCTCATATCATGATCAGTAGCTTTTCGTCTTCAGTGTGCTGAAATTTTAACCAGCAGCCTGTCATATTGTCAAGTGTGCCAGTGATGTTGGTGGACTGGAGATATCAAGGGATACAAGCCCAGAAATAATGTTAGCTAGTTATGATTCGATCACAGGACACGAAGAAAGATTTCCCAAGGCCAGTATATCTCGCGATACAAACAGGAGAGCATGATTACAGGGTGGTATAAGGAGTGCAGGGAGTTCAGAGAGTGTAGTATACATGTGAAAAGAATACAGTTGGTGTGATGAACACAGTTTGGTGGTTATATAATAATTATGCTGAAGAAATATTAACTCTTGAGACTTAATTGATGAAAACTCATCTGAAAAAATAAACAGACTTCATGCTCTCTACCCCACATGCGATGACTGAAAACTGTGATAAGTCCCTAAGTGTACAAGATTCTTAGCTATTCTTTTGGCTGTCCCCCAAGAGAAAAGCCAATATACTGAAAGTGGCCTGGTGCCAGATTCACGAGAGCACTTACGCAAACACTTATGAACCTGTACATTTTTTCTCAATCTTTGGCAGCTTTGTTTCCAATTATTAAACACTTAATGAGTTCCGAAGCACCAGGAGGCTGTTTATAACAATAACAACAGTTGAAGGGGAAGTTTTCATGCTTGTAAACTGTTTAATAAATGTAACCAAAGCCGTCAAAGATTGAGGAAAGATGTACACGTTCGTAAGTGCTTGCGTAAGTGCTTTCGTGAATCTGACCCCTGGTCTCCATGATATAAAGATACATGTATAACAGCTTAGGGACCACCTAGCTAAGGAATGGGTAGCAAAGCACTCAACTCAAATCCAAAGTACATTCAGAGAACACAAAAAGGCCTTTCCCTGTACCAGTGCCTTAATTACAATCTCTGGCTAAGGTCATAAACATTTGAAGGTTTCAGCTTGCAAATAAATCAGAAATAGATCAAGTTTTAGAAAATTCTCAACCCTGATAGTCAGGATGCATGTGAAGATTAGTGGAAGTAGTGAGCCATACATAAGTGGGGCTGCAACCTGATGGAGGCGAGGTTAAGCAGATGTTTGGCCCTGATTGGATAAAAGGCTGGGAAGCTTCCTGTTAGCAGTTATGCATGTGATGTCACTGGGACTCGAATAACTTGTGGATTATGAACAGACCACTTTTGAATATCTGCTTCCTTCATTGGGGTGAATTTTCATTTCTACTGACTTCAAGGCACCTAACATGGTCCTATTGGGTGTTTTAAGCCCCTGGGGCATAGGTATTGCACATTTTTGTAGCTTGACTGCCGAGAACATAACATAAAATGCAGGGAGTTAATATATCTCTTTCAGTGACAGAAAAAATTATATTCACTTTAAGTTTCCACTAAAAAGCAAGATTCAAAACATGCCAGGGATCTTACATTGTTAGAGATAACAATAGTTAACAATCCTTTATTGTCAGAGTTGATGGCAACATTAAGTGTGAGGGCTTGTAGGAGAACAATTGTTGAGTGCAGAGCAACATATGCAATTGCAACCAGTAGATGAAACAGAACACCAAAATGTTCCCTCTTCCTTCCTCTTGGTTCTGTTGCTGTCCAAAAGAGAGCATCCAGTGTGTCTTGCCCAAATGCTGACATAAGCCTGTAAACCATAAAAAAGAACATTATACAGTAATTTAAAATTTTTACAATGGAGTACTACATTTGAATATCTAGCAACCAAAAAACCAGCGTTGAATGTAATGAAACGCCATTTTCTGGGTGAGCCCCGGAGGCTCCCTGGAGCTTATCGGGCTAATGTATGTTATATTAGACCGGGACATTAGCTAAGGAGTTCAGACCTACTAGGGACCAGCGCCAGAACCTGGTCCCTTCAGAGAGGTTTCAGGGAGCAATGGCCCTGGAAAACCCCCTTGTGGTTGGGGTTTTCCTTATCTGCCATCGACCAGGGTTAGGCACCCAGAAAGGTAGGCATAACAAAACAAACCTCACATGGTAAAAAACTAAAACAAAAAACCGAACAGAGGTAGAAACTCCCTACAATCCCAAGGAAACAAGCAAACATCACACTTTACTGCCGCACCGATCGTCCAGGTTGCCAGGGAGCCTCCGGGGCTCACTCAGAAAATGGCGTTTCATTACATTCAACGCTGGTTTTCTGTGGGGAGCCCCTACGGCTCCCTGGAGCTTCATACCCAAAGAGAAGGAAAAGAAAGGGTTGACCCAGGAGGTGGCCGCCACAAACTCCGCAACACGAAGCCGAGACAACAGGCTGCAACCTGCGACCCAAGGCAACAAGAACGCACAGGAGCAGATGCGCATAAAGAATGGGTGGCCAACAACCTGTGCGATCCTCAAATCCCTGCGCCCAAAATGAGCCCTACATGTCACCAACACAGCAGCAAAAGCTGCAAACATCCGAACAGCACGGGCACAAGGACAGACCGCAGGCTGGAAGACTTAAAAACTCTGCGGACGACCTGGGAGACCCGAGCCCTGAAACAGAGAAGAAGGGGAACCGGATCAACCCAAAGCGCATCCCCAGACACGGTACACAGGTAATGGTAAAAAGCACAACTGGACAACACAGGACGAACCCCCTGGCCGAACCAATCAAGCATCAATAACCCAAGAACCCTTCTGGAAAGCAGCTGTCTCGACCATCGCCAGGACGGAGAAAGGCTGCAAATGTACAAACCTACCACCAATACCAAAGAGCAGAAACCTGAACCGAAGGGGCTACCACAAACTGAGGAGAAGATAAGAAGGCACCCTGATCAAGGACCAGGGCGGTTCAGGCGACGCATGAGCAGGCCGGAGGGAAAAAAAACACGAGAAAACGTACAAAATGGGGCAGATATGACGTCCACCCCGCATGCAAGCCGGAGCAGCTCCGCCAGCGCCGCACAAAATGAGGCGACAGTAAGAAACATCAAATTACTGTAGTCCTGAAAACCCAAGAAAGGACAAGACAACCCGATGCGAAAGAGAAGACAACCTACAAAGAGCAAGAAAATGGCGAATAGAAACACCAGGAAACTTCATACTGTTGCCGAGACAAAACTTGCAGGTGGGACACCATCAACAAAGCCACTTGATCACCATAGAGATGGTGATACACCCGCATCAAAAGACCAGAAGTGAAGAGCCAAGGAGAAGGCTGAACCAGCCACGTACTGGACTGATCCGACCTGCCAAAAGAGACGGAGCCACGGGAAACGCCCCGGGTTCGGACACCGATCAAGCAGCGTCTGAAAACAAAGCTGGCCGCTACCAAGGGTGGGGGTGGGGGGGTAGGGAAGAGCAGGGTGAACCACCCCCCAAAGGGAGGACTCGAGGACAAGGACTGAACCAAGATCAAAGTGACCAATGCCCCCAAGTCCGGGTCCCTAAAACCAAAACGGGGTAGCCCCGGGGCATTCGAACAGGCAACCAACCTAGCGCATTGCAATAACAAAAACCTAGCATGCAATGCGACAGCTGCTTGACCCCTAAAAACTTCCAAAAAAGAATGGGTAAACTGGAGAATGAGCGGGGAAACAAGTGTCACTGACCCAACAAGCAGCATGATGGAGGCAAAACAGATGATCGTCACCCTGAGACAAGGTCAACGAACAACCTTCAAACTCGCACAAAACGAGAGGAGACTCGAAAGACATATCTATAGTTTACCCCGTGCCACAACGGGGGTTTCCAGGGCCTGCAAGGGTATGTGTCCATACGGGAAGCCCAAGCACTGGTATTGCAAAGCCAGTTGATCCCCGTCAATACTGGGCAAACTGATCCCTGTGCAACCTGTTGGGTCGGTGACACCTGTGCAACCTCGGGGGCCTAGGAGATGACTACCAAACAGAACCTAGGTGTACCTAATCGGAAGTTAAGCAGCCCTCCACTAGGGAGAAAAGAACTTGAAAACAAAACCCTAAAAACATACCACAACAAGAGATTGCCAGAGAGAGACATGGCCATCATTAGGTATACAAGCTGCGCAGCATCATGCGCCCCAACAACAACACTCGCTCACTATCCAGGGCCAAACAAAAGCACCAAGACCCCCAGCAGACCCCCAAGGGCGAAGTCAATGCCAAGCGACAGCAACTCCTACAAGAGTGAGAACCCAAAAATACCCAGGGAGGGTAACCTTGAGACCCAAGAGAAAGTACATACAGGGAGCCCAGGGAAAAGAACCCCAAAGCGCATGCAGTCCGAAGCACAGCTTACTTCTGGCCACTGCCCAACACACAGCAGGTACAACCGCAAAGGCAAAATCCTGACAGGAAATTGAGGCCAGAGGAGATGTCAGCTCCAGCTAGCTTCAGTCGATGAATTGGTGGGCGAGCAGCCGGCTCAGGGGGCTATGTCAATCAAACGTCATCAAACCATGAAATGTCAGTTTGATGACGTTTTGCTTGTTGCATTGTTTTTCTTTGGGGGAAGTTCTTGGGCTCTGTTCGGTCTTGGGTTGCAATTTTCTACCGGTTGCGGTTTTTTTGGGATGCCTACCTTTTCCGGTGCCTAACCCCCGGTCGATGGCAGACGTGAATATACTCTCAAAAGTGGAGTTTTCGTAAGTCATTGCTCCCTGAGCCTCTCTGAGGGAGCCAGATTCTGGCTCATGGTTTCCAGTAGGCAGAACTCCATGTGATTGAAGCCCCAGACTAATATAGCATATATATCAGTCCAATAGCTCCAGGGAGCCGACAGGGCTCCAGGAGCCCCATCGTAACTGTGGAGTCCCCACAGAAGATATTAGGAAGTTTTCTTTTGCAAACAGAGTGGTAGACGGTTGGAACAAGTTAAGTGAGGTGGTGGTGGTGGAGGCCAAAACCGGCAGTAGTTTCAAAGCGTTATACAACAAAGAGTAGTGGGAGGACGGGACACCATAAGCATAGCTCTCATCCTGTAACTACACTTAGGTCATTACACTTAGGTAATGTACACACACACACACACACACACATCAGAATGTTCCCAAAGTTCTTAGAATAATGGATTTCAAGAGTAGATAGGTATACCTGCAATATACAATTTGTCACATCTGGGAACATGTTGTCCTGGAGCATGCTCTGCATCAGAAGGGTGCTTTTTATTTCTTGGTCTGGCCAATAAATTTATCTGCCTTCAGACTGCTTTTCCTTATGAATGAGTCGTCTGCCTTCAGACTCCTTTTCCTTATGAATGAGTTGTCTGCCTTCAGACTCCTTTTCCTTATGAATGAGTCATCTGCCTTTTGATACAGTCCTTTGTTCATTGAAGTGAAATTTGTACATCTTGGTGTTTAGTATACTTTATGTCCTTAACCCTTGGGCCACTAAGAGTCAATGGTTTCAACACCCACAGGCGCAACAAAAAATATCCAAAAAATTCTTTCGTCTTATAAGTGTTCATTTGTGTTCCCTGATCACGGAAAAAAATAACAAAAAAATCGCAGGTGGCATATTTTAGCTGCAATAGAGTAGGGAAGTCTGGCAAAAAAAACAGCGTTGAATGTAATGAAACGCCATTTTCTGGGTGAGACCTGGAGGCTCCCCGGAGCTATACTGGGCTGATATGTATATATTAGACCGTGACAACAGTCTGGGGAGCAGACTGGGGAGCAGACTGGGGAGCAGTTCGAATGGAGCCAGATCGTTGCTCCTCGAGCGACCCGAATCCTCTAACGCGAATGCCACACCGCCACAAACTCCCGCGTCGTGCTGTGAGCTCGACGGAAGGACGGACCCCACTGACCCTGGCCGACCTGGTGAGCATTTGTCACAAAACCCCAGCCAAGAGACGAGGCATCCGTGAACACATCGAGCAAGGGCTCGGGAAGGCGCCACGGCACAAAACCCAAAAAAACCCGCAGAGGAAGCCGAGGACGCAGCAGAGGAAGCCGGCGACGCAGCAGCCGACGCAAGGCTTCCAGGATCCGAACCCATTGATCACAAAAGCGGCGGAAGGGATGACCCTGCAGAAACCAGAACATCCGCCGAAGCCAGATCCGACCCAATGGGTAGACCATTACGGCGAAGTTCAGGCTCCAGCACAACTGCTCAACAGCCGACGTATGACCCGGGTGCCCTCCAAAAACAGCCGGAGGCGGGTTCACAGCCGTAACAGCATCGCAAGAGCGAGAGACAAGGAAGCGGTCCGATAGTCCCGTACAAGATCCAGCCAAGTTCGAACCTGAGAGGGAACCAAATGGAATTTCCTCCAGTTCACCAAGAACCCGAACCCGGCAATCTGGGAAACAACCAAATCTCTGGTGAGCAGGCACGCGAACTGGCTGGGAGCCCACATCAGCCAGTTGTCGAGGTAAGCCAAAACCCGAACCCCTAACAGACGCAACCAGGCCACCACGACCCGGGTAATGCGAGTGAACACTCGAGGTGCCAGATTCAAGCCAAATGGAAGGCAATGAAAGCGGTAAGCTTGTCGCCCTACGACAAAACCGAGCCTAAACCCCGGATGAATTGGGACATTCCAATACGCGTCCCGGAGGTCCAGAGACACCATCCAGGCCCCCAGCGCCAAAAGCAGCCGGACCTGAGACAGAGTAGTCATCCGAAAAGAGGGGCAAAAGACCCAGGGATTGAGACGAGACAAGTCCAGTATAAATCGCAGATCCGCACAGTCCCGTTTCGGAACTAATAACAGGCA